ACAAAATCAAGACATTCAACAACCTGACAGTGAAAATGTCCACCTCTGGGAAGAATTGCTAGACATTAGAAGGAGTAACATGATCCATAAACAAGGATAAAATGTTTCCGAAGGCCCTGAAATGGCAAGAACTATAGGATTAGCAGATGAGGAATTAAAGATAATTAATGGAAATAAATGTTGTTCCAGAATTAAAAGAATACAAATGAATATAATTAAAAACCAATGAGGAAGAACTCCATCAAAAAAAATAACAAGTATAATTAAGAACCAAATAGAATATCTACAACTGAAAAATACCAAAGAGAAAATATGGAACTCTGTAGTAGACCCACAGATACAAAGTCAAATATTTTCTACCAACACCCCAAAAAATCAGTATCAAAAGAAAAGTCTTTTCAAATGCATCTTGACCCCACATCTCACTTATGATACAGAAACTAATTTAGATTCATCCTATGATGAAAAAGCAAAAACCACAAAAATAAAACATAAGATAAAATCTTTACAAATGTGGACCAAGGAAATATTTCTTAGATAGGACCCTAAAAGTGTTAATTATAAAAGAAAAAATGTTACAGCAGACTACTTCATCTTAATAAAACCAATTTGCTTGTGAATGCATACCATTAACAATATACACGGGGAATATATAACTGGTAGAAAAAATACCAGCACATATATATGACATAGAACTTGTATCCTGAGTATTGTAACAAGGCACACAATTCAATAATGAAAGAGAAGAGGATCCCAGTTGAAAACTGAGCAAGAGACTTGAACAGGTCCTGCACTAAGGGAGAAAGACAGTTAATAAACAAACATACAAAATGCTCAATATCATTAGCCATCACAGAAATGCTAGTTAATGCAACAACAAAATACCACAATGAGTTCTCCAATACAGTGCCTGAAAATTCAAAGATGAAAACACAAGATTTTTTTGGAGGACCCCGAGAAACAGGATACTGTGCATTGTGAGTATAAGTGATCACAATAGCTTTGAAAATCTGCGTGAAGTTTCTTATAAAGTTAAATATACTCCTACCCTGTGGCTCTGCCATCTCATTTCTACTTATTTACCCAAGAGAAGGGAAAAATAATGTCCACAAAGGGACTCATGCAAGGAGTGCATTTTAATCACACAACAGTAACAGTAACATACAATGATAGGAACCGTGAAAACGGGCATGTGCCAAATGTTGAAAGTAAATGAGGGCATTGTAGGACCAGCTATAGTGCTTACCAGTTTGGGGTCAATAAAAGTCTTATGGCTGTTTTGTGAGAAGCAACTTGTACTTTACTCTGCCTTCTCCCTAACTCTCTTGTTTGATTCCTTAAACAAATAAAAAGCCCATCAACTAACCAAAACATGCACTCATATAAATTCAGCTAAATATCACATGTTCTCTTATATACGTGTGCACGCGCACACACACACATATACACAGACATCCATTACCACACATTCACTCACAATCATGAACTCTATACATTTGCACATTCCTTCATGCATACACTCAGGTCACAGTCAGGTACACTCAGTCATATTCACACATAAGCACACACTGTGGCATTCTCACACATCATCGCACTAAACACATTTACTAAGACACTTATACATTTATGTACATTCATAAACATACACTCACACACCAACACACATTCACACACCAACATTCACTCATACTTGAAAACATACATACTCATACTCAAACACACACTAACATACTCACATTCACACACCATTTCACATGCTAAATCACATATCCACATGTTTTAGTCAGCTTTTTCACCACTGTAACCAAAAGGCCTGACAAGAAAAGTTTTAGAGGAAGGTAAGTTTATTTGGTGCTTACAGTTTCAGATGTTCAGTACATAGATGACTGACTCCATTGCTCTGGGCCCAAGATGAGAAAGAACATCATGGTGGAAGGGTGGAGGTGGAAAGCAACTCAGAACATGACCATCAGGAACCAGAGAGAGCTCTGCTCACCAGGAACAATATGAACCCCAAAGCACACCCCCAGTGACCCACCTCCTCCAGCCACACCCCACTTGAACCACTGAGCTAATTCCTAGTAGTGAATTAATGCACTGATTAAGTTAAGCGTCTCATAACTCTATCATTTCACCTCTAAATTTCTAGTATTGTCTCACACATGAGCTTTTTGGGTGTACATCTCATATCTAAACCATAACAACATACATTCACTGATATATTGACACAGATATTCACAAATTAATAATACTGTCACACCACCACAAATAAAAATGCTTACAAACATTCACGCATATTCTTTTTAAAAAAAATTTTTTTAGTTGTAGATGGACACAATACCTTTATTTTGTTTATTTATTTTTTATGTGGTGCTGAGGATCAAACCCAGTGTCTCACACATTAGGCTAGTGCTCTACCACTGAGCCACAACCCCAGCCCCCCCCCCGTTCATACATATGCTAACACACACTCATATTGATACTCACAATTCCCCTGCATGGTGAAATTTTAATTCCATCTCATACATACATACACTGGTCTTGTTTTGATGTCTAGATCCCATGTGTTGAGTGTTTGGAGCACTTAAGCCATCATGGGGCTATGGGAACATGGGTCCTGCCTGTTGCCCCCCATCCACCCTTTAATATCTGATCCACTTCTATTGGAAAATCTCACAGAGTGCCCTAGGTATCTAACCAGTCACTATCTAGATCCACCTATGTAATGTTCAGCTATGTTTCATCAGGGTCCATAAGCTAGTAACCCTGGGTTGTGATCACTTTGGCAGTTAGTGTACCCCATAGCCTATCTGAAATTTACCCTGCACACACCACAATGGTAACCCTGCCAAAGTTGTCCCCTCCATTCCACCYTGTCCCATCCCTAAAGGAAGCAAAAAACTTGGCTGGAACATCCATGAGATTTATTGAAGAGAAACATTTACAGAAACCAYTGAAGAGAAGGGGTGACGACAACACCTAAAGGGACTCTTCACGACCACTCGAGGCCACAGGTCCCGGGCCTCCCCCTCCTGGGGCTGCAGACGAGGAGCCTCCTCTATCTCCACGCTGGGGCCCTCCCACCACAGTCTCCCTTTCTGAGGACCTCAGCTCTGCCTCTTGCCAGGACAATGGCCTCTGGCAATGAACACTCACTTCCATTCCGGGAGCCCCCTGAGGGGCTGACTTGCTGTGGGGTGGCCCTTGCCCTATGGCTGGCACAGAACGGTCACAGGACAGTGGAAAGCATAACAGGGAACACGCCCCCCCCCAAGCCAAGGAAACTGAGTCACAAGGAACAACGGGGGTGGAACGTCAAAGCACAGTCCCTGGCCCTCCCCCTCCATCTAAGGTCCAGTGCTTCCTGCCCGAGGTGAGGCCACGGTCTTGATCACCGAGGGGGTGTGCGTCCACCACGCCCTAGCCGTCCATCCTTCCCGCCGGCTCCCGTCTCCGACTCCTGGGGACTGGGCTCAGGGCCTCCTGGGGGGAGCTGCTCAGATAAGAACACACACACATCTCCACGAGAACAAGCCAAGCGGCAGGCAGCTGGCCTAGATCTACACCGAGAAAGCAGAGGTTGAGCTCACGACACTGGACAGGAGCGAGCAGAGCCTTGGCTCGCCCGGAAGCTCACGGCACGTGCCCGGGCCTGGGGGTGGCCGGCCGCGAGGGCACGGTCCTCTGCCCGGGGTTGACACACACCTCACGGGGGCTTTGCACAGGAACGATGGCTAGCGTGGGGGTGGGCGTTTGCTTGAGGTGGGTCACTAGGGGGCTTACAGATAAGGTGGGCCTCCAGGGACAGGGACAGGAGCACCCTGCCCCGGGGATGGTGAATCGGGTTGGGATTTTGCCTGTTGGGAGAGCCAGGCAGCTGGCACCCTTGAGATGGACTCTCTTCCCCGACGTCTCCCAGTCCAGTGCAGGTGGCAGGTGTACTCAGGTGCCCTCATCCAGGCTATGGATGGCCGCTGAGTAGTGCTTCAAGGCTGGCCGCCCTAGGCTGGCAGGGCTTGGGGCTGACCCTGGGTTGGCAGCTCTTGAATTGTGAGTTGCCAAGCCAGGCCCCAGTTCTCCCTGCTTGCTCTCTCCACTTCTCCAGTGGTCCTGCACAGACAAAACAGAACAAACTGCCCCCCTCCAAGTCCTCCCTCATACTCCTCCCACTCCTTTCCTACCTCCTCCTGTTTGGAGCAAAAGTTGCCTTCTATATCCACTCACGCCTAAGCCAGCTCTGGGGGCACTGACCTAGTGGGTGCCAATGCCCCCGCCTGGGGATCTTCTTAGTCTCTGGTGTCCTTGCCCATACAGCCCTGTCAGGCTGCAGGAAAGGAAACTGCCTCTGGGATGGTGCTGGGCTCCCAGGGCTTTGGGGTCTGGAGACCCGGCCTTTATGGGCGGAAGGGCTCAAGGGTACTGCCTTCCTGGGGCTCCCCTAGAGCAGTGTAGATGATCCTGAAGACAGGTTGGACCCTGCGACCTCCCCTGCGGAGCATGACTTCTCTCTCTTCGAGCTCTTCCTCAGAGGAATTGGCTCCTTCTGACACAGATGGCCCCAGGGCAGGCTCCTCCATGCTCCATGTATCCTGGTGTCTGGTTGGCATCGTTAGCTCTGAGTCTGTAGTGTAGGAACTTGGAGGTGGCCAGATGACACTGCAGACACGCATGTCAGAGCCCACCGTCTCACCATCTTCATACTCTGCATCGCTGGGGTCTCTGTGTGAGGCTTGAGATTCCCATGTGCAGGGTGTGGCAGCTCCCTGCTTGGTACTCTGGCACCCCTTGATGATCCTGTGATGGACCCTCACTGAGTTGCATGAAGTCTGATTTTGGTTCTTGGAGTCCCTTCCCACTGGTAGAGGGTGACAGGGTTCAGTCTGGACCTGATTGCTCTGTCCTTTTTCCCTACTGAAACCCTCTGCTCTTTGTCTGAGCTGCCTCTGCCCATTCTTCAAATTTGTTGTTTGTTTTCTAGGCCTGTGATAAGAATTGTTGCCCTGTTTTCCAGAGCCTACTTGGCCTTGGACTTGGGATGGCTCTTGTCCCAAGCCCGGCTCCCGTTTCCCAAATCAATTGCAGCCTGTCTCTTCTGCTTCACCAAGGGCAGATTGGGGGGGTTGAAACACTGCGCCCTGATGTGGCCATCTTCCCCACAGCCATAGCAGAATGTGTGGTGTTTCCGTTTTCTTGATCCTCTAGAGCCAGCCCTCATCACACCTCCTCTCCTGTGTTGGCCTCTGCCCCTCCAGCGTCGGGAACCCTGGGAAGGCCTTGCCTCAAGAGTATTGCCAAGGGCAGGAACAAGCGCTGCCCTGACCCCACTGACTCTGGCAGATGGCCTTTGGCCTATTTCCAACCCTTCCAGAATCTCCCTCTCCGGACCTATGGTGGCCTCCCACTCCTCCTCCTCACGTAGGAGCTTTACCAGGGCCAGGAAACCAGGCGGCTTCCTGCGCTGTTTCATCAGCTTAAGCTTCTCTCGAAGTTTGTCAGGAAGGGTGGCCCCACCTAAGATGCGTTTCAGGCGTGTCTGATTCACATTCCTCCGGGATACTGCATTTTTCTCTACAGCTTTTTGAAGCAGGGGTTCCAAACGTACCACAAAGCTAGAGACTTTCTCTCCTGGCTCCTGATAGGCCTTACAAAATTTCACCTGGGCAATTTTTCTGCTCTCCACAGGTCCAAACACCTGCTGCAGGGCTGCTAGGCACTCCTCCACTGTGATGGCAGCATTGTTGGCACGCAGTACACTGACCACCTGGAGAGCAGGGCCCCGCAAGCATTCCATCAGCCTCCTCCTCTTTTCCCCCTCAGGCACCTGCCACATCTGTAGCATCTCAGTGGTGTGCTCAAGCCAGGCATCAAAGGCCAATGCCCCTGGGATAGATATGGTGTTCCCAGAAAACACTCTTAGTTCTCGGTATAGCATTTGTTCTAGCAGAGGTTGCACTGCTGCCCCCAGGGTCTGGGCCCAGGTCCAGAAATCTGGTGATATAGCCAATCTGGGAGCTGAACAATTAGTGCAGGACCCAAGGACTCTGTTCATGTCTGACACGGACCGCCTCTCCTCCTCTAAGAAGCGGTTCAGTCTATTGAGAAATTCTTCATCAGTATTTCGGGGTTTTACAATCACTTCCCAGGGTCCCCCCTTTCCTAGTATTTCCCTGGGGACCAAAGCATAGTCAAAATCTTGTGCAAGCTCCAGTAGAAAGGCTTGGGCATTCTCCTCCCTCCTAAACATTCTGCCAATAACCCTATATCTGCCCAGATGCCTGAGAGCCTCCTGGAGAGTCTCTTCAAATTCATCCTCACTACAGTCCTCAGGAATTCCCAGGATCAACATGGACCTCTGGGTGTCCAAATGCTCCCCCCTACACCAGTCCTGCAACAGGGTCAATGGCATGTTCCCGAACTTCAGCAGATTCTAATTTGGGGGTGGGTGATCAGAACGCGTGCACATAAATATATCAGCCAACTCCCAGGACGACTGCAGCCCACCCAGGTCTCCACAACCTGTGAATGCGAACGGGGCGACAGCGAGGTTAATGCCCAACCCCCCACTCCCACCCCAGCCGCCCCTCGTGCCCCGACC